GCATTGAAAGCTCTGGTAGACACAGGAAGCTAAGAAAGTTACGTATCTGAGGAGATCGTTTTCCGGAACAAATGGTCGACATTGACATCCAATACTAAGATTGTCCTGGCTTCCGCTCGTACTACAAGCTGAACCAGGGGTCATTGTTTCGTCTCCTTAATACATAACGGTGGTCTGTACGAAAATGTCAAACTGTCCGTTCTCCCCGATTTATGTGCTGATGTACTTCTAGGACATGACTTTTTACAACGACACAAGTCAGTAGAAATACCTTTCCAAGGAATTCAGCCACCGTTTTCTCTCTGTAGTCTCTCAGCCGCTAGTTTTCCAGTTCCCTCCCTTTTCACACATCTGGACCCTTCTTGCCGTCCTATTTGCACAAAATCGAGAAGACATAGCTACTACGATGATAATTTTATTCGTTTAGAGATCGCTAGGCTATTGAAGGACGGTATAATCGAACTTTCTCGATCGCCATGGCGGTCCCAGGTCCTGGTTACAACCAACGAACGCCAGAAACGACGAATGGTTATCAATTATAGTCAGGCAATTAACCGGTTCACCCTGTTGGATGCTTACCCACTACCACGTATTGATGACTTGGTGGGTAAAATTGCGGAATACGGCATTTACAGCACCCTAGACTTGAAGAGTGCGTACCACCAAATACCAATGAAGGAAAATGAGCGATATTATACAGCCTTCGAAGCATGCAATAATCTTAATCAATTTCACCGCATACCGTTTGGAGTAACCAACGGCGTCGCCTGTTTTCGCGCACCATGATTGAGCTTGTTCGACTTGGAGGCCTCAAAGGAACCTTTGTATATGTAGACAACATCGCTGTCTGTGGGAAAGAAATTACGGTCCACAACATAAATCTGAAGAGGTTCCTGCAGGTGGCTGCCAAACATAGTTTAACATTAAATAACAACAAGTGCGTATTCAACTCCAAAGTAGTTCGATTGTTAGGCTACGAAATATGCAAAGAATGCGTCAAGCCGGACCCTGAACGCTTCGACGCCCTTCTCAAACTACCGCCTCCCTCGAATATGAAGGCGCAACAAAGAGTTGTTGGAATGTTCTCATACTATTCCCAGTGGTTTTCTCATTTTTCGGAAAAGATTCGCCCGCTAATCACTAACAAAATCTTCCCTCTTCCCAATGAAGTACTCTTCTCTTATGAATCATTGAAATTCGAGCTAATTCAAGCATCACTGGTTGCAATTGATAAAGACACACCATTAGTGGTCGAGACCGATGCCTCCGACATAGCAATCTCTACTACACTTAATCAAAGTGGTCGCCCCGTGGCTTTTTTTCACGCACCCTGTCACCCTCAGAGCGAAATCATTCTACTGTAGAAAAAGAAGCCTACGCAATAATTGAAGCCATTCGAAAGTGGCGGCACCACCTACTGGGTGCCCACTTCAAATTGGTTACTGATCAACGCTCCGTCGCCTTCATGTACGATACGAAGGTCAGCAGCAAAATCAAGAACGACAAAATACAACGCTGGTGTATCGAACTTTCTCAATTCTCATATGATGTGATATACTTTCCAGGTTCGGAGAATCCTGCAGCCGATGCTTTATCACGAGCATTCTGCGCAAGCACTGATTCAGTCGATGAACTGAAGCGACTTCATGACAGTCTGTGCCACCCCGGTATCACACGTCTGTACCATTTTATCCACACAAAAAATTTACCCTTTCCTCTCGATAGTGTCAAGGTGTTAACTCAACAATGTTCTGTTTGTGCACGCCTTAAACCCAAGTTTCACATACCACGCAATAGTCCCCTTGTTAAGGCTGCACAACCTTTTGAACGCCTCAGCGTTGATTTCAAAGGCCCAATTCCCTCTTCCACTCGAAATCACTGCATTTTGACAATTATTGATAAGTATTCCCGTTTTTTGTTTGCCTTTTCCTGTCCCGACATGACTGCTCGCACTATCATTTCTCGTTTAACTGGGTTATTTTCCATATTTGGCCTGCCGCACTGTTTACACTCTGTTCAAGGGGCCTCTTTCATGTCTCAGGAACTGAAGATGTTCCTTCACGACCGAGGAGTAGCTACTAGCAGGATGACGCGCTACAACCCTCAAGGTAATGGCCAGGTTGAAAGGCTGAATGGAACCATCTGGAAAACCGTATCCCCGTGCCTCCGTTCTAAGGATCTGGCGGTTGATCAATGGGAGTTGGTGCTACCTGATGCCCTCCATGCTATCAGATCATTACTCTGTACGACTATCAACGCGACGCCTCACGAACGTATGTTTCTCCACAACCGAAAATCTG